GCAGCATCAGCATCAGTAGCAAGACTGGCTGGTGCTCAGATATCGGCTTTTACTCTTTAAGTCATTCCTGGGTTTCACGGTGTATAGTTTAGCAATAATAACAACTTGGGTATCCTTCCTAAGAATCAGACATGAGGAAGGGGTTGGCTGTCTCTGGTAAGAGATCTTGTCAAGCAAGCAGGTCGCAAGCAAACTCCAAAAAAGCGAGGAAGCCACAAGCAAGGCCAGGAGAATTTGTCCTGCTGCTTTGTGCTGCTGCGACCGCTGCACCCAGCTTTTGGTGCATTTTGGGCTGTGCTGCTGGTAAACAGTGCGGCTACTTCACCACAGCAACAGGGCGGCACTCCAGGAATGCCAAGCCCTATATGGTTCGCGAAATGTCACGTCGGGATGTCGTTCAGTTCGTTGCGCTGCGTGCGTATCTCAATCAGAAGAAGATGGATGGTGGCGCGAGTTCGACTCGAATGCCAGCAGAAACTGGCAGAGAAGAAGAAGATCATACGAGCGAGCCTATCTCAGTCCGTCAGGACCCCGGCTTGGCTGACCAGTCGAAAACGCAAGGCATACAAATGGACGAGTCGGCCTTCAACGAGATGTCCTTGTATCAGAATCGCAAAAGAAGGCAGGGTGGTAAGCTCACTCACATCGTATCCTTCCTCCTCCTCAGCAGCCACTGCATCACAGGAGTTATGTAATTTGGAACTGTAGACGCCAGAATGTCACTGCATGCCCTTATAGTCCCTCTCTAACTCGATCTACCTTAGTATACCCCCAAACCCTATTCCAGTTGTTAAGGCCCCTATAGCAGCTCTGACGGTCCAGGTTTGGGCTCGTTCCCTGGACCGTGAGCTGCGCCTGCTACCTGCTGGCCATGATCTTCGTCGACTTGAAGAGGTGGGATCCCAAGCTCATCCAGCCTACACCCTGTATTCATTCCCTGTCATTCCGATGTTAGTCTCCCATGGAAGAGCTGGCTGCTGTCAGCAGTCACAGCGACAGATCATCGAAATCAATTCCATCCAGCGTTTCTCAAACATTTTAGGCTGATCTCTCTGTGCACAGAACACTGAATGATGTATGGAGGAACGCGAGCAGCTGGTGTCGGGAAACCTGTTGGTGGAGGGCTTCAGGGCTTCCCTTAACGTATGTCGCGCAGCCATGTCTAAACCTTTATTATCTGTCTATCTGTTTGTCTGTCTATCTATCCGTGTGTCTATCTATTCTATCTGTCTGTCTATCTATCTGTCTATCTATCGAGCTAGCTATCTATCGAGCTAGCTATCTATCGATGTATCTATCTAGCTATCTATCCATCTATGTATCTATCCGTGCATCCATCCATCTATCTACCTATCTATCTATCTATCTATCTATCTAACTATCGATCTATCTATCTATCTATCTAGCTATCTATCTAGCTATCTATCTAGCTATCTGTCTATCTATCTCTCTCTCTCTCTATATATATATATGCATATCTATCTACCTATCTAGTTATCTACTATGCACGTATCTGACACAATATATATATATATATATATACATACATACATATTATATATATATATAGGCATACAGACATACTGACACACATATACACATAAACACGTGTAAGTGTGTTGAAATTGTGCTTATGCCATGCGTGTATGTACCTTCATAGTTGAATTTATATCTATACTTGCATGGTTCTTTACTTGCAGCTTGTATTCACTATTGCATATATATATATATATACATAGATATATACATATATATATATATAGATAGATAGATAGATAGATAGATAGATACATGTTGAAACACCCCCAATTCACAACGATGCCGGAGTGAGGCAATTCCGGGAGCCTCTGCCGCAGACTGAGACGGAGGCGAGAGATGGAAATCTCCTGCAGGGTCTCTTACGTGCTTACGTGCAAGAGGAACAGGCGACTTTTTGTGTGTTGGCGGGGCTGATACAGGGACCTCTATAAGACATAAGTGGAGTCCCAAAACCCGGCTGTGCTTCCATGCTTGAGTGGTTTCAGGGTGTAATTACTAGTCAAGCGTGGGAAGTCTGAACCCTAATCCCAAACCCTGCCCCGGCTATTCATTCCAAGTTCAGATTCATCCACGCACGCCACCTTGTCGAGCCGTACTTGCCAGGCGACGCAGCGCACAAACGACAACCTGAGCTGGATCACAGGAGGCAGCGGGTTTTTGTTCGGCTGCTGGGCTTACGTGTCTGGGGGTTCAGGGTTTGAGAGGCACAGGATTCAAAAAGATTCTGGTAAACCACTGTATCCTCTGAAGACCTAGCTCTTCACGTACTTGGATTCGGCTCTGGGCAGCCTTGCAAAGCTTTTAAAAGGGAGAGATGTTCCCATGGTCACCGTTTCAGCCGGATATGGCTCGCCAGACCAAATTGATAGGGCCTGCACGGGGACACCTTGTAGTAACCCCCTTCCGTCAACCCTGCAACCCTTGCAGTATATAACCCCTCATGGTAACCCCTCATATAGAGCATAGTTAGTAAGCTCTTCTATAGTACCCCCTTATGTAGTTACCCGTTATACGGTAACCTCTATGTAGTAGCCCCTTATAATACTGTAAGTGTAGGCCGCTACAAGGACGGCCCTCGCGCATCACCGAGTCAGCAGAGGAGCTGCAGGCACAGCGCCAGTCCTGCGAAGAAGGTACGGTTTCTTTTAGGGTGTGTATACATACATACATACATATATATATATACTGTTGATGATATAAATCTTAAGGTACCTTAAGGACCCTAAACTATGGGAATTATAGTATAGTCCCTATGATGGGTAATGCAGGATTTATATCATCAACCGTATATATATATATACATAGAGAGAGAGAGAGATGTTTGCGTGTATGTATGTATGCATGCTTGTATGTATGCATGTTTGTCTGTATGCACATAGGTAGGTGGGTGGGTAGGCAGGCAGGCATGCAGGCAGTTTCCAGCACCAAGCTTGTTTTCTCAAAGGGATGTCTTGTGTATTACTGGCTGCTTTCGAGGTTGCATGTTGTCTTCAGCTAAGGGTCGATTAGGGAGGGGGGGCATAGCCTAGGCAAGGCTTGGGGGCACTCAGTTGCAGGTCTTCACCCCGACGATCCCCGATTATACTAAACCCTGACAGTGGGTCCTGTGGGGGAGAGTGAAATGTAATGTAGCGGCCAGAATCCAGAATACTTGCCAATACTATTCCCTAGGGTTTCTTAATATCTCTGTACTATAAGTTACCTCGAAACCTTATTGTTGTAACTATCAAGGCCCCCCTGGATAGTAAGGGGTAGACGGAGGACTTGCAGGGCTAGGGTTCCAGACTCCCACATCAGTTTCAGTGCGTGGGATTAGGGCTTCACTGGTGAAGCACTTTCAGGTTCGCATTACTTCAGGATCCCGCCGAAAGAAATGAAAAACAAATCCACTTATAGCAGGTTCAGTATTGGTGGAAGGTCTAGCTGGTGTTGAGTTTCGGTCTGCACTCCTTGCCTTGCCTAATCCCTAAACTTTAAACCCTAAACTTTGCAGTTTGATATCCGGGTGTGCCTCCTTCTGGCTGTCCTGCCGTCGTGCCTTTGCCCGCACTGCGAACTTCGGAATTTCAGAAGACATGGGGCCTAATCTGCACGGCTGTTTGATACTTATGTTTCATTTTTCTTGGTCTTGGGATATGGCGTTTTTGTGTGCTAATTATTCCATTTTTCGAAATATCCTACCTTCTGCAGGGTCGAGTCCGGGTAGACAGATGCAGAGTTTATTAGCCAGATCCACGGCCCTTAAGTTTTGAGAGATCCGCAGTTGGATGTGTAAGTTTGTTTAGTTGGAAGCACGACGATATTGGGGCGCAGCAGAAATCCCTTGCGCCTGCAGCACTGGCGGTCGAAGAGCATTTTTAATTTGGGTTGGTGGCCTGCAGAAGATGACGTGCACTGCATATATGTAGCTGTTTTAGCATGAAGTTGGCTCATGAAGCAGCAATTGTTTGTATTGTCGAACTTTGGCGATGGGTTATCATTGATGTGTTTCCATCCCCAACCCGACCCTAGGTCAACCTCCGGACTTCGTGTGCTCTGCACAAAGACAGTCCTCCTTGTTTCCTGCATTGCAGACTTTAGTGCGCTTGGCGCTCGTCTTGCCGCCAGGATCGCGAGTAGGAGGACGGCTTATGTAAGCGAAACAAGAAGGCCACTGCATTCAAGCTCAGGTTGGCCATCTCCTTGCTCTTCACTGCGACGTTTGCCACAGGCTTTACAGGCAGTCCGGGCGCATGCGATGAGAGCCACATGTACTTGTACGCATCTGTGTGTATGTATCTGCACATGTCTGTCTGGAATTGTGTGTGTGTGTGTTTGTTTGTCTGTCTGTGCGTCCGGCCGTCCGTAGGTGTGTATGTACGCATGTAGCATGTAGGTATGTATGTTTGTATGTATGTCTGCATGTTTGTGTGTATGCACGTGCCTGTGCATGTAAGTATATTTGTACAAGTATGTCAGTCATGTCCGTCTGTCTGTCTGTCTGTCCGTCCGTCCGTCCGTCCGTCCGTCCGTCCGTCCGTCCGTAGGTATGTATGTATGTATGTAATGTAATGTAATGTAATGTAATGTAATGTAATGTAATGTAATGTAATGTAATGTAATGTAATGTAATGTAATGTACTGTAATGTACTGTACCATACTGTACTGTAAAGTAAAGTAAAGTAATGTAATGTAATGTAATGTAATGTAATGTCATGTAATGTAATGTATGTAATGTATGTAATGTATGTAATGTATGTAATGTATGTAATGTATGTAATGTATGTAATGTATGCAATGTATGTAAT